TATATATATATATATATATCGTCACAAACATAACTGCCCGGTAAACCGTAGGCAGAGAGAGAGAAGAGGACAGGGGTTACACCCACACTGATACCCCACCTTACCTTTACTATGTTTTCAAAGCTCACAAGTCTCCTCCAGCTCTTCGCAGCATTCTTGGAGTCACAACACAAAATAATAGTGTTGTTCCCCCGCGTGCTCGCCCTCGTCCAACAATTCGCACCATTCATGAACGGCCTCCTCACAAATCCTTGGCTAGCACAACGACTACTTCGTCGTATCTCAATGTTGCTTTGCAAGGAGTGATCTTTACTCTTCGCGAGAAAGACACTGAGCTCTATCAACAGGTTGGTGTTCGACGGTGCTGGATCGTTCAGAGTGCCGATAAAGTGGCGATTGACCTGAAAAACAATGCATCGTCTTTTCGTGGCCTCTCTCCTCGCACTGTTGATTTTACCACAATGTACACCAACCTTCCTTCTTACGACATTCTGAATAATGTGGTAAAAGCTGTTGAATCTCATGCTTATGCTCTTTGGCAAGCTCGCATGGATTCACACTGCGTTGCCCTCAGCATGGTTATTCGAGGACCTAGTTGTGGCCAATGGACAACTGATTCAGGCCTGAATACCCTTTATGTTTCGCAGATTCTCCAATATCTTCGCTTTGTTGTACAAAACACTTTTTTATACACGAGAGATGGCACGCTTCGAAAACAAATTATCGGTATTCCAATGGGAACGAATGCTGGCCCAGAAATTTCTAATCTAACACTGTATTGGGATGAAGCACGCTTTGTTGATGACAGTCGTCAACATGATCTTCAAGCTGCTCAACAATATGCCTTCACCGATCGCCTCATTGATGATGTTCTTTCATGGGGGCATTTACCTCCTCCACCAGAACACTATGGGCTGGAGTGGAAGGAGACTACAACTACAGATGGCTCTTGTACCTTTTTAGGTATGCAGCTACGGGTCCGTTTCGATGGCTCGCTTCGCATGAGCGTCTTTAATAAAGCGGCAGCTTGGGATTTCCCTGTCATTCGTTATCCAAGTGCGACCTCCAACATTCCTTCCCATCAACCGGCTGGTGTGTTCACAGGGCAGTTGACCAGATTTGAACAAATCTGTAACAATTGGCAGAACTTTCGAACTGCGGCAACAACACTTACTCGTTGTATGCTTTCGCATGGGCATTCCCCACCGACCCTTGCTAAGGGGTGGACCTGCTACATGCGCTCCCGCCAACGTCGCTATCCTACACATGTGAAGCGTCTCTCTCAGTGGTTCCGACGCATGTTGCGATGGTCCTTGTATCATCCAATTTCTTCTTCGCCCCCACGATGCTCTCGTCCTGCTCCTGCTTACTCATCTGCTGCTACCGCAGTTTCCATTGCTGCAGTCTCCATTCCTGCAGTTTCCACTGTTGGAGTCTCCACTCCTACAGTTTTCACTGCTGCAGTGTCCACTGTTGCAGTTTCCACTGCTGCAGTGTCCACTACTGCAGTTTCCACTGCTGCAGTGTCCACTGTTGCGGTTTCCACTGCTGCAGTGTCCACTGCTGCAGTCTCCAGCGCTCCAGTTTTCGCTGCTTCAATTTCCGCTGCTGCAGTTTCTACTGTTGTGGTTTCCACTGCTGCAGTTTTCAGTACAGCAGTTTCCCTAACTGTAATTCCCCCTACTTTAGTTTTTACTGCTACAACATCCTGTGTTGCAGCTCCAATGCAAAGAACATCACAATCTCTCCGACGCTTACGTCCTTTGCTCCGAAATCTTGCCCAATGCACCCCCCTCTCATCTTTGTTTGTGCTTGGCCGTAGACGACTGCGTTCCTCCTCACCACCCCCATCTCCTCCACGGTCTCGCTTGCGAACAGACTCTCCAGTTTCCATTGTCCCAATTGTTCCACCTGCGTTGCTAGGTACGAGTTCAGCTTCTGTTTCCAACACCACTACTCCTCTTGTTGTGTATCACCGACGACACTCGCGGCATCGTCACTTGTCCGGGGATCAGCAACCTGTTTCTTTGCCTGCCCCGATTCTTTCTGTGCCTCCTCCACAGGTTGTTGCGGTTCCTTTGTTTCAAACGGCAATATCCGCTCCGATGACTCCTGCAGACAGTCCATCTGCCTGCAGGCAGCCACCAGTCCCTACTCAGGATGCAGCCGCTGTCCAGAGTACACTCCCGACTCCAGGTATAGTCCCTACTCAGGATGCGGCCCTAAACGTTGAGGGATTGGAACATGATCTGCCCGGATCGCAGTTGACCCCACAAGGCATAGAACACATGGGGGATCTGCAAATGGCTGACCAACATTGTGCGGCTGAAACACAACTTTGTGCTCCGCCACACGCAGACCACATGCAAATGACTGACCAGCAAACAACCCAACACAGTTTGGGCTTGCAACACCATCAGGGTGATCTGCAAATTGTTGGCCAGCATCCAACAAACCAGCCTGAGAACCTCACCAATATCTGTGGTTTGACAGCAACTAATATTTGTCTTCACATTCTCCATCGCCCGTTTTATACACCATCAGATTTCCTTGCAATCGCCCTTCAGCTTGATGCTGATCTTCCCCAACGACAGCCAGAGGATTGCAATTATACCAGCGAAGGACGCTTTACCATTGCTGTCCTACAAGTAGCAATGAGGGACCGTCAACTAGAACTACGCAATGCTCGAGCAGGTGAGTGGTTTAATCCTCCATCCCACATCTCTGCCTGCATTGTGCACGGCCCTGGCCATTACATGGCCATTGTACATGCCTCTGACCACTGGGAGCTGTGGGACAACGGCACCATGGTCCATGCCATGATTGGTGTCACTGATTTCTTACGAAATGATGTTGTTTTCGTGCCACAACAAACCGTCCGCAATCTCTTTTATGTTGAAGATCATTCCTCTGGCCCCGTGCTGCAGCAAGACAATGTACCAACACTCTGCGACCATCTCCTTTGCACAACCACAAGCACTGTTACACTCGGCTGTAGCCGCCATCGTCTCTGTCACAATCACTACAATGACATGGTTTCTACATCCATGTGTGCAGAGGACTGTCCCACCGTTCCCGACTGCAGGCACCCTCCGCATCCGGACACTATATGTCCATTTTGCGGCCATGGGCGCTATACTGAATGCATGCTCTTTTGTGGTGACCGTTCTTCTTTCATTTTGACCTGCAATCGACATGCCATTTGTCGGGGGTGTATGGCGGGCATGCTCAATGCCACCCGTCGTGGCAATCGTTGCACTGAGAATGCTCAGCTAGGTCTTCCATGTGTTCATTCACGTCATCCTTACAATGTATGTCCTCTCTGTCGACAAGGACAGACTCATTCTTGAGCCTTTTCTTATCCTCTTTTGCCTTCATCTTCACTCCACACTCCATAGTTTCCCTTACTTTCCCTTTATCGTTCTTTGTTTGTCTGCTCTCCATCTCTCCTCCCTGTGTGTATCCCCTCCCCCTTCACTCTGCCTCTTTCTCACAGCGTACAAGTGGGCTGTTATGGCACACGGGGATGGGGGCAGCTCGCGCTCAACTTCATCAACGTGGCGAGCCTTGTACGTGAGAGGCACGGTGAAAGGGGAGTCAAAAGAAGAATGAGTAAAATGAATGGTTTCACTGTGCCCTTCATGTTTGTCTGTTTTCCCCT